GGGGGGAGGAGGAGGAGGGAAGAAGGTGGGGATTGTCAGGCAAGCCAAACAAACAGAATAAACCTCTGTCTCTCATCCGTCAGCTCCTAACCCCGTTGGTTACTGGTCAGTGCACGGTTCTCCAGATTTGTGCAGCAGGTGGTAGAAATAACACGGGCTTGAAGAAACAAGTTCCCCGAAAATGCAAAAGGAAAGTGTCCTTCCCACGAACATAAGTCAAGCGCTCTTCTCTTTTTTTTTCCTTCTCTTTCTATCTCCTGACCGGGGCGCCGGCTGCGCAAAAGCGCGTCAGACTTTGTAGTAGATGTTGGCGGGGCTCTGCGGCGGCATCTCCTGGACGATGTAGACCGGGTGGCCATAGTCGCCGCTCACCTTCTCATAGTGAGGGCAGTAGTTGTTCTCTGTCCGCAGCGGAATGATGATGTCGCTGGGCTCCGTCCCAGCCGTGCCCCCCGGCAGCTTGGGGTTGGACAGGGTGCTGAGGGACAGCGCGGAGGGGCGGGGCTGCGAGTGGGCGTTTTTCCTGGCCCGCTTGCGCATCTTAATGAGGAGGATAACGAGGAGGAGGATGAGCAGGAGGAAGATGATGCAGCCGACCCCGATGACGGAGAACAGGGCCGCTTTGGACCTGAGGATGCCCTCTGAATCTGAAGACCCGGACTGGTCCTGATTCATGTGGTCTAGAAAACACACATAAAAAGAGAAAAAGGGGGTTTAGGGACTGTATAAAAAATTATTACCACGGAAAGAAGGTCAGGAAAATCGAGAATATCGTAATTTATACTTTTTTCCGTCTGACTTCTTGCAGAAAAAAACGACGAAGTCTTTTTATCTTTTTTGGGGGGCCCCTATTTCACATTTTGCATTCGTGAGATTTATTATTCAAAAAGATCAAATGCATACATCAGAAACCTGCTTGTCATGCGCTCTGCAGAGTTGCATTTGGCCATGTGTAAAGAATATGTGGTGGTGGTTGTGTGCTTTCCATTCGGGGAGGAGGTGCAAAGCTATCGCCTCTTGTTGCTTCACTCATTTGGTGGCTGGAATCGGCCTAATCTCACTATATTCAGAAGTACAGAGTAGGGGGGCTGGGGGTAACAGTGTGCAATGAAAATATTAATGAAAGCATCAAGCTTGTTCCGTTTTCCTTTTTTTTTTGGTGGTAAATAAGGCTGAGCACCCACCGCCGCCACCACTGTAATTTTCATATAGTCCCTTAGAGACTGCAGACCATTTACAGTAAGCCCGTCCTGTCGTGTGCACATCTTGCAGTCTGAATCGACTGTGAGCAAGGCTCAGTTTGTTGTTTGCTCAACATGACTAACAGCCCCATTGATGTAATCTAATTGAATCAGCTCAATCAAGAATAGGCCTCTAATGAAATCTGTAGTCATCACTCAACATAACAAAGATTCCGGCTATGATAGGATTTGTGCCTGAGCAAGTCGTACGACATGTCAAGGTTTATATGGCAAAGGCCAAATGTGATATGGAAAAAAATGAGGAAGGCATATCTGAGCATCTGATTTTATTTGATCCCTTTGTTTAAGGGGTTCAGGGTGGAGGGGGAGGCAAGGTTGGTTGTTACTGGTTGGAAAAGAGAATGACTGGCTCCTCCAGTGACTGAAATATGAGAAGAACCAAATCTGTTTTCCATGTATGCATGCAGCTGCTGCCAAAGAGCAGCACTCGCCCCTCTCCCAGCACCACCTTTTTACTGTCCGTGACCCCCGCGCAGGCACACAAAAGTCTCATAACTCCAGAGACTGCCATCCCCGCTTAATGACTGTGTCTCCGCAATCATCTGGCCACTCCTGGACTTAACCATTAGCGAAGGAGGGGCTGGCTCCGCTTTTGTTTTCAAACTTTTTTTCATGCCTTATCGCAACCAAATGGCATCAAGGAAAGCTACCAGTTCTGGCCTTATCAGCGAAATCAGAAACTGGAGGAATTTTCTACACTCTGGTCGCTGAAGAAAGCTGGAAAAAGAGGCTGTCAGAAATGTCATTCCTGAAATATCTGCCCCTCAAACCGCATTGCCTCGTCCTTCATTCCGCCCTCTACTTCTTCACTTGACATAATCACTGATCTAACAATGGCATACAGGCAAAAGCCCAGGTATGAGGAAAAGTGACATTAGGAAATCTTTTTATAGAGCAACTAGTGTCAAATAAGCAATTATTAAATGAGGACAGCTTATCACATTGGGACAGGCAGAACAGTCTGTACTTGGAGGAAGTTTGTAGCATCGAAAGTTGTGGAGTAAGTCAAAAAGTTAGCACGGGGAGTGATCAAAAAAAGAAAAAGAAAGCGGTCCCTCCTGTGGGAAGCAGCTATGAAAGGTGCTGGTAAAAACAGGAAGCAAGGAGGGCCCAGAGCATCCGAGGAGGCTCATGTGACTTCTTCAATTATCGCTGCCTCTAATCTTCATTTATCTGCAATTCTAATGAGGTTTAAAAAGATATATAATAAAAAAAAGTGTGTTTTTGAGTCTCCTTGGGTGCAGTACACCCTGTGTGTACAGCATGAATAAGTAAAGTGAGCTGTATTTGTTTAAGGTGGCGTTTCATGTTGTTGGACTGCACCTGTACTTTTGGGTAGTTTTATTACCTGTGATTTTACAAGTATGTTAGCATGCTGACCCCCCAAAATCAAAGGACTGCTGGAGGGGTGAAAAATCCATATGAGAGAATTCAGACTTCATTTTTTACTTTCTCTTTTGAGGCTAAATGTGACTAATTATGAAGAAGAAGCCTGGAGGCTGTGAATATTCTCTCCCTCTCTAATTTTTCTTTTACATTTCACAAACCTTTATTTTACTAAAATATTTGCACTCGAGAAACTAGAAAGCATTTTTTAATGAAGTGTTAAGCTGCAGTTTATGGTAATAATGTCAGTCAGTCTGCTCACCAGTGTTTCCTGGTATCTCTGCTCCCGGCCGATCCTGGTCAGGCAGACTGGGACTGGACTCGGGTATGGTGTTGTCTGGGACCTCCGGCACGGCGGGGTTTGCATTTGGAACTGTAGGAAATAAAACGCACACAGACACAGAAAAAACTTAGCCTTGACGAGCTGCATATGCTGAATTACAATGACTTGTTCTCTGCGACGCCACGGATTACTTTTATTATCTTTCGATATATCTTTTGTGTTGGGAGAAGGTTATCTTTGCGTGTGTTGAAAGTGTTTCACAGGCAAAGATGAAAGCACAAAAAAATGAAGGACAAGTTAGCGAGCATCTGTGAAACACGCCAACATCCCTGTCCTGCTGTAAAAAACCCAAAAAAAACGAGCTCACATCTACATCAGCAGCTCCTTCAGCAAACACTCAGACAGCCATTTCCAACACTGACACATTCATGAGAGCGTAGGAGACAGACACACACACACACCGCCATGCGCACACACCAATGCACACACCTACAATATACTTACAATACACTTAGGCATGGCAGAATGAGGGTAAAGTAGTTATATATTAACTTTTTATTGTTTTACATTATTCATCACGTTAAAAGGCCATAATATGCCTTATTTATTGCTTCGGCTTTAACTCTGCCAGAAAGAGGCAGACTTCTGAGGAGAAGAGAATAGAAGGACAGGAAAGAAAATGGGGGAGACGAGGAGAGGAAGGGATTGCATAAGCTTTGAGGTGAGGCGCAAAGGAAAGAGACAGTTTATCTCTCTGTCTGTTGTGATCTCAGCCAACACACTTTGAAGTCTTTGTGCAGTAAACACTGGTGGGTCCACAGCGTGGTTTTTACAAGGGCAGGGTCGGCAGACAGAAGACAGTTATAAGCTATTACCGTAGCCAGCCAGATGGATGCCACAGTACACTATCAGATGCTTCTTCTCTATCAGGCCTTATCTGCATCTGCCCAAAGGGCTGTTCAAGGGGCGTGTGTGCGAAATAGAGAGGAGGGCGTGTGAGGAGGCAATTTACATTCGAGTCCCCCATGGCAAGTTTGTGTGTGTGTGTGTGTGTGTGTGTGTGTGTGTGTGTG